AGAGACTGAGTCGAGGCCACCCAACAACCCAGTTGCCTGCCTGGCTCGTTAAAGGCACAATTTCTGAGGAGCCGCCTGCACCTGCCAACCCCCCACCCCCTTCACCCCAGAGACTCCCATGATGCAGGTCGCCACACACCCAGATGACAAGCGAGAGGACGACCATCTGCTCGTCCCCGCAGCCCCGGGCCTCCCGTGCCCACCCCGGCCCCCTCTTCCAGCTGATGCCTGCCCCCCACGGAACCCTGGTCCCGGCGTCCGTCCCAGTCTTGCCCCATCCTGTCGCCTCACGTGGCGGGCTTCGCCCACCCTCCCGCCTGGGCGTCCACGGAGCAAGAGTGGCCGGGGTCCTGCCAATGTGGGCCAGGCCCCGGGGCCTTACCATGGTGAGCTCAGCTGCTGCCCAACGCCGCTACTTGACCTCAACTGCCGCAACAGACACCACGCGCCCAACTGCCGCCGCTGCCCTGTGCACACTGCCAGCGATTGGCCCGCTGCTGCCCAGGCGCCTATTGGTCCTCAGTGCCTCGGGGCGGACCAAGGCCTGGAATCCCGCTTCCGATTGGCCATTGCTTGACTCTCGGAGTATGGCGCTTTCTGATTGGATGCGGCTTTGGCGGGAAGGCGGCCGCCTAGCCAAAGGCGGAGCGTTCTGGGCCATCCTCGGCCTTTAGAAAGCTGTAGTGGTCGCGGTTTTCCCTGCACGGGGCACAGGACATTTTCATGCATGTAAGTCCCCAGTGTGCGAATGGCTTCAAGTCAAGATTGTGTCGCCTTCTCGCTTGGAGCCTCAAGCCCACTCATCTGCCTGTTCCTGATTTAGGTCTTTGCAAACATGACCACCTCTCAGAGGTCTGCCAATCTTCTACCTGTAACCCATCCAAAGGAGAGTTGCTCCACCCCATGCCCAGCAAGCCAGTAAAAGACTGGCACCGAGCTTTTGCCGTGAAGGTAGAATATTTATTGGTGTGGTGCCACACAGGAGAACGGGAAACGAATGCTCAAAGTCCCGAACTTCCCGATGCCTTATAAGTGAGGATTTTTTTTTTTTTTTTTTAAAGATTTTATTTATTTGACAGAGAGAGACAGCGAGAGCAGGAACACAAGCAGGGGGAGTGGGAGAGGGAGAAGCAGGCCTCCCGCCGAGCAGGGAGTCCGATGTGGGACTCGATCCCGGAACCCCAGGATCATGACCTGAGCCGAAGGCAGACGCTTAACGACTGAGCCACCCAGGCGCCCTAAGTGAGGATTTTTAAGGGCAAAATTTGGGTCAGGGGTCTCCTGACGCTGTTGATCGGAGGCCCATGAAATCATGTGCACAGATGCTACTTTGTTACTTGAGGTGGCTTCCTCTGGTCCATGGATTTGTGCTCTATCTCGGGAGACTTGGAATCTGAAAAACATATTTCTTAGGTTAGAGATTTCATTAGGTACATCTGGTGATTGTGTGTTTGGGATAGTGCTGATCAGCTGCTTTTAAGTGCCTGTTTGTTCTGTGGGTAAACTAGTGGGGTCATGATCCTTTGAATAAGTACACATTCCTATCTCTTGGGCCTACTCCATTCCCTAGCAGGTCGAGCTGTGCTTGCAGAGGGTATGACCTCTAGTGTTCATTCTTTCATCTCAACTAACAAGATGGATGCCAGCTTTATACCTAAAGTCTGCACCCCCTTTCTTGTCCACCCCTTTTCTGGTGCAGAAAGGCCTTTGCCATCCAGCACCTGAGAATCAGGCAGGATTTGATTACTTCTTTAATGTGAACTGGGTTTCTGGAGATAAGGGAGTGGAAGGGTATACCCCAGCCTCCCCACACACCCCAAGAGCTGGGTCAGAGCTCAGTGTCCATTTTGGGGGACTTTGGAACAATTACCCGATTCTTCCATTCTGTAAAGATTGACTCAACTTTCTTTAGGATCTAATGTGTATTTATTTCTGAGAAAAGCAGGGTAAGAGGAATTCTGGCATACCCCCAGTTTATCACCCCAAAGCAACACCCTTTCTGGTGATTCCCTAGAGTGTTGGAGCAGACTCTTACCTTCTTCTTAGAGAAGAATGGAGAATTCAACCCCTGCAATGGGACACACCAGATAGAGGCGCTGGAATTTTTCTGTAGGCCTTGGGAACATATGAATAGTATGATTAGGTCTGCCTTAGGCAGCTTTGGCCGCAGGGAGGAGGGAGATGGAAGGAGGTCAGGGGAGAGCCAGGGAAACCAGGAGAAACCTTCCCTGCTTCTCTCCAGGAGAGTGAATCCTTCTATCTTAGCTAACCTGCCATAACAAAACACCACAGACTGGGTAGCTTAAGCACAGTTTATTTTTTACACAGTTCTGAAGGCTAGAAGTGCAAGGTCAAGTTCTGGATGGGTCGGTTTCAAGCGAGGGCTCTCTTCCTGACTTGCAGAAGGCCTCCCTCTTGCTGTGTCTGCCTACAGGGGTAGGAGGAGAGAGCAAGTTCTCTGGTGTCTCTTCCTATAAGGACACTCATCCTATCAGATCAGGGCCCCACTCTTATGATCTCATTTAACCTCAATTACCTCCTATCTCCAAATACAGTCACATTGGTGGTTAGGGCTTCAACATAGGAGTTGGGGGGGGTACCCAATTCAGTCTGTAGCACCCTCCTTTCTCAGGGCTCAAAACATACCACATACATAATTTCATTGAAGACTGCATCACATTTTATTTTTATTTTTCAAAGAGATTTATTATTTTAGAGAGAGAGAGAGAACACAAGCAGGGGGAGGGAGACAAGCAGACTTCCCACTGAGCAGGAGTCTGACGTGGGGCTCGATCCCAGGACCCTGAGATCATGACCTGAGCCAAAATCAAGAGTCAGATGTTCAACTGACTGAGCCACCCGGGCACCTCTCACATTTTAAAGTACTATTTATTTTTCTGGTTATGAAAGTAACACATATTCAGAGTAGAAAGTGTGGAAAATGAAGAATAATAGGAAAAACAGTAAAATCATTCCCAAACTCACAACTTAGAGGTAAACATTATTAATATGTCAGGGTTTTTTTAGTCCTTTCTCCTGCATACATATACATTTTTTTTACACAATTTGGATCCAACAATATGATTTGTTTTGGTAACAGCTTTCTTGAGATATAATTCACATACTATACAATTCACCATTTAAAAAACATTTTTTTTTTTAACTTTTAAGTAATCTCTACACCCGATGTGGGGCTTGAACTCACAACCCAGAAATCAAGAGTCACATGTTCTACCAACTGAGCCAGCCAGTCACCCCACAATTCACCCATTTAAAGTGGTATACAATCCACTGGCTTGTAGTTTATTCACAGAGTTGTGCAACAATCACCATAATCAATTTTAGAACATTTTTGTCACCTCCCAAAGAAACCCATGCTCTTTCGCTGTCAACTCCCAGTCCCTCCCATCTCCCCAGCCCTAGGCAACTTTTTTTTTTTTATTCTTTTTATTTTTTTAAGTTATCTCTACACCCAAGATGGGGCTCAAACCTACAACCTCGAGATCAAGAGTCACATACTCTACAGACTGAGCCAGCCATGCGCCCCTGCCCTAGGCAACTTCTACTTTCTGTCTCTATAGATTTGCCTATTCTGGACATTTCATATACACAGAATCATACAATATGTGGTCTTTTGGGAATGCTTCTTTCACTTAGCATAATGTTTTCAAGGTGCCTTCATGTTGTAGCATGATACATTCCTCCTGATACATGGTACATTCCTGTAGTAGCATGATACCTTATTCCTTTTTCTTTTTTAAATTTCTTTTTTTTTCTTTTTAAAGATTTTATTTATTTGAGAGAGAGAGAATGAGAGACAGAGCATGAGAGGGGGGAGGGTCAGAGGGAGAAGCAGAATCCCCGCTGAGCAGGGAGCCAAATGCGGGACTCGATCCTGGGACTCCAGGATCATGACCTGAGCTGAAGGCAGTCGCTTAACCAACTGAACCACCCAGGCGCCCCCTTATTCCTTTTTCTTGTAAACAGCTTTATTGAGCTATAATTCACATACTATACAGTTCACCTATTTAAAGTGTACAATTCAGGGGCACCTGGGTGGCTCAGTCAGTTGAGCGTCTGACTCTTGTTTTTAGTTCAGGTCATGATCTCAAGGTCGTGAGATCAAGCCCCATGCCCGGCTCTGTGCTCAGCAGGGAGTCTGCTTGAGATTCTCTCTCCCTCTTCCTGTGTCCCTCCCCACCTCTAAAATAAATAAACAAATCTTTAAAAAAAAACAGTGTACAATAACTACTTTTGGTATATTCAGAGTTGTACAACCATTACCACAATCAATTTTAGAACACTTTCATCACCCCAAATTTCATGCCTTTTTATGGCCAAATTGTAGGGGTGTTCCATTGTATGGGTATACCATATTTTATTTATCCATTTATCAGTTGGTGGACATTTGTACTTTGTGGATATTATGAATAAAGCTGTGAACATCTGTGTGCAAGTTTTTGTGTGAACATATGTTTTCATTTCTCTATGACCGGAATTGCTGGGTCTATGATAAACTACATGTTTAATCTTTTGAGGAACTACTAACCAAACCATGTGATTTTTTTATCTGATTTTCTCACTTAACATTAATCATGTGCATTTTCATAAATTATTAAATGTTCTTTGAACACTTGGCTTTTAATGTTTGCAGACTTCCAAATCTTAGTTAACCCCTGTTAGTGGGCATTTAGATTATTTCCAATTTTCATATTATAAACAGCATTTCAGTGAACATTTTTTTTTTAAGATTTTATTTATTTATTTGAGAGAGAGAATGAGATAGAGAGCATGAGAGGGTCAGAGGGAGAAGCAGACTCCCTGCTGAGCAGGGAGCCCGACGCGGGACTCGATCCCGGGACTCCAGGATCATGACCTGAGCCGAAGGCAGTCGCTTAACCAACTGAGCCACCCAGGCGCCCCTCAGTGAACATCTTTGGGCATTAATCTTTTTATGCAGCTCTGGTTATTTCTGCAGAGCAGATTAATTAGACCACCGAATCAAAGAGCACAGGCAGTTTTAAGGCTTTTGGTGCATAATGATAAATTGCCTCCCAGAAAAGTTGTGTCAGTTTGCATTCTGGCAAGTTGAGTTCGTACTTTCATTGTCTCCTGAGGTCACCAAAGCTGGGACTTTGGACATCTCTGACCCCATACCCAGCTCAATATGTAGCACATAGTACAAGTTACACAAGTTAGTGTGAGCGAAGGAAGACCCAGTCTCTGCATTAACAGAAGCCATGGGATAGAGAGGAGGGTACAGGTGTCTGAGACTCCATTAAGACAGGCTCCATAGGACTTACCACCCAGTTGACATGGGGACTCACTGCAGACTCAAGTGGTAATAAGGCATCGTGAGGCCAAGAACCCTCGACGTTGAAGTGGCCAATGTGAGATGAGGAAGCCACCCACCACAGTCACTTAGGGACAGATGCTGGTAGGGATGGGGTGAAGACTGGCAGTAACTCTTTTTTGTACTCTACTCTGTGGGCAGCAGTCTTTACATGGAGTGCTGGAAGAAGTACCTTCACTGAGCTGGCGAGGTCATCAAACTCTCTGTCCACTTGGATCTGCTGAGGAGAAACCCGTTATAAGGCAGTACATGATCACTGTCTGAGAACGTCACTGTTTTTCACTTACACAAGGTTTTGAAGAAACACCCTAGGGCCGCTTCTCTCCTATGGATGACAACGTCATTACTCCCCAAACCATTAAAATAGAGAAGAGAAGTGGCTCCAGGGGAGCTCCTTGGGGCCTGCACTATTTCTTGATCTGGGGGCTGGTTGCATAGGTGTGTTCTGTCCGTGGAAATTCACAGCCCTAACCCACGTGCACTTTTCAGCCACGTGCACTTTTCAGCATAGACGTTATTCCTCAATAACGGGAGTCAGGGGAAGAATACTAGCACTAATGGGGTCTTTCTCTACACAGGCCTTTCCTGTGGGGTCTGCTAGCTCATCCCCTCTTCTCAATGAGCCTGGCTGGAAGATTTTAGCCCCATTTCACCTGAAGACAAGGCTGAAACCTGGGAAGGGTTTTACATGAACTGTCAGGATTCAAAGGCATTTCCCTTAGGGGCGCCTGGGTGGCTCAGTCAGTTAAGCGTTTGCTTTCAGCTCAGGTCATGATCCCAGAGTCCTGGATCAAACCCTGAGTTGGGCTCCCTGCTCAGCGGAGAGCCTGCTTCTCCCTCTCCCTGTCTGCTGCTCCATCTGCTTGTACTCGCTCTCTCTCTCTCTCTGTCAAATAAATAAACAAAATCTTAAAAAAAAAAGAAAAAGAAGTATTTCCCTTAAAGCTGAGGAGAAAATCTAGGCTGGGGAGATTAGACTAATAACAGTAAGGAACAGGAAATTAGTACATTGCATCTAGACTAGTGTTATTCTTCAATTCAGAAGATGCCATGTTGATGACTCAGGATTTGGTCCCAGGCCTGTCTGATTCTCACCTCTGTTTCCACTACATTAAAAGCTCCTGATAATAACCATAGGTTATATTGAATAAGCACATAGTTTTGCAGAAGAGTTTCATATATCATTCCTTTATTTTTTAAAAAATACTTATTTAAGTAATTTCTGCACCCAGTGTGGGACTCAAACCCACAACTCTGGGAGTCACATGCTCTTCCCACTGAGCCAGCCAGGTGGCCCCCCCTCCTTTTTTAATCATAGAAGCTAATGCTAACAGGAATTCTCAGAGCAGGAGGAACATGGTCAAGGCAAGCTAATCTCTGGCTTTGGAGCTGTAGAAGCTGGGCAGGCAGAAGGAAGCAATAAGCCTGAAGGATTGGAATTGTAAAAACACATCTCTGGAAGGGTTTTGACTTAAATCTGGGTTGACATCGACCAGGGTTAGAATAAGCAGTGATTTGTGACTAGACTTCCTTTCAATAACTCATATTTGGGGATTCTCTCCTTAATGTTTAATTTTTGCTTTAATTTTCTTTCTTTCTTTCTTTCTTTCTTTCTTTCTTTCTTTCTTTCTTTCTTTCTTTCTTTCTTTCTTTCTTTCTTTCTTTCTT